GAGCAGGGAGCCCGATGTGGGGCTCGATCCCAGGACCCTGAGATCATGACCTGAGCCGAAGGCAGACGCTTAACGACTGAGCCACCCAGGTGCCCCGGAGGTAAGTTTTTATATATATGAACTTTCCAGGGGCAAAGTCCTTAGCTTTGTCAAATTCTCAAAGGTGGTATAATGCAGAATTTTAAGAAACACTGGCTTAAATGGATATTTTTACCTAGGCCTCGGGAACAAGAGGCATAGTAATATCACTTGAAAGCAAAAATCACCTCTCCAGTTAAGACTTACCTCAGCCCACCAAATTTCTCTGTCCCTTTCCACTGCCCACGCTGATTCATGGCTAGACAAACAGAGCTCGTTGGATTTCCTGTGTCTAGACTCTCGGAGTACCTCATACCCCTATTAGCCAGGTTAATACAGTTATTATGGTTATGGTGACTATTGGCTAAGCTAGAGTTTCATGATATGTCAAAAGTTTTGATTTCTTTAGATACCTCCAGTTCATTTGGTCAATATCCATTTAATCAGTGCCTACAATGTTTAGCACACTGCTAGACACTGGAAATACAGTGATGAAAATGAGCTTGCAACTCAATACTGGAGAGATCAATAAAATTTAAACATATAATTTAAAACTGCAGTATGGGAGAGGTGTGAAAGGTAAACGAGGCTGAAATAAGGATAAGGAAAGACTTAACAACCAGATCACTGTATGCCACCCAAATGCGACAAGCCACTAACTCCTTCCCAGTTATTCTAAACAATGCTGTAATATCTATGTCCCGCTAACTTGGGATGTATTATATTAAACTAGCTTCTCCTGGGCACTGACAGGCAAGTGGGAGCGTGGACGCTTCCCGCAAGGTGAGAACATCAAATGCAAAAGCTTCCCTTTTCCTTGTTACTAATAAATCTAATTAGAAACCAATGTGTGTGGTGGGGGAGGGGGCAGGAGAGAAATAGAATAAAGCCAATGTCTAAAATGCCATTTCCAGATAATCAGATTACAATCGCAATAGTTTTGGGTTTTTTTTTTTTGACCTGAGCCGAAGGCAGACGTCCAACCACTGAGCCACCCAGGCGCCCCAATCGCAATTGGAAGTTGGCGGTCATGGCCTGTAAATCAAGAGAGACCAGGAAAAAAAAAAAAATCAACTTAACCATTTCCCAAATGTTAGCAACTCTGTATATTGTCAGTATTCAGCTAAAGCGGTCGGGGTACTCTAGCCAGCAACACTGAGACAGGCTGGAATCTTGAACTCACTAAAAACCCCAGATTGGTAAAAATAACCGGAGTTTCCGTGGGAACGAGATTGGGGGTTGGCCGGTGAGAGAACAAAGGCTGCGCGTCCGTATTAGGGTCCACTGGGCCCGCTGGCCGCACTGGGGGCAAGGGCGGGGGCGGCGGTGGTGGTGAGTCCGGGTGGCGGGCTCCCCGGTGCCCCACGCCGCCGCGGCGCTGGCGCACCTCTCCGGGCATAGCAGAGCGCCGGCGAGGCGGGAGGCGAGGGAGAAGGAACGCGGGGGCCGAGGCCGGACCGCCGCCCGAGTGAGTGAGCCAGCAAGCGACTTGCGAAACACGCCGCGGGCGGTCACCCAGCAGCACCGGGATCACGCGGCTCCCAGGGCCGGCAGAAGCCGCCTAGATAGAGCACGCGGGAAGGGAGGGGCGCCGGGGACAGAGGGCGACGTCCCCTGCGGTTCCCGTCTGTAAGGGGCCGCCGTCGCCGTCAGGCCCCGCCCCCTGGCGCTTATGTAATAGGGGCGCACTGCCATTGGCCGGCGCGACCGGAAAGGGCGCAGGCGTGCGAGCAGGGGAGGAGCGCGGGAGGCGGCCGCAGCAGGAAGGCGCGTGGGCGGCGAGGAGCAGGCGGGCGCTGGGGCGACTGGGAGAGCTGCGCGGCGTGCGCGGGCACGAGCATAGTGGCCTCCCCCGAGGCTGAGGCGGCGGC